ATTCACCACAACTCTCTGGCTTCTTTTGTTGCTAAATTAGAAGTGAGGAAAAGGATAGGGACTGCTGCCCCACTAGGGAAGACAACCAAAGAGAGCAAGAATTTTATATCATTAAAACATTTAATGTGCTTTTAGTCAAATAATGTTTTCCTTAGTTTTTAATGTGATTAAAATGTTTACTAAAAAGTGTAAGTTTATTTATTATACACAAACTGAATAGACAAGGCAAATTCTGTTAACTCTAAAATGTCCTTCAAGAGCATGCTTTGGACATCCTGTAGTGAGATGATTGCTGCTGCTTTTATTGTGGGATGTAGTAGCTTATGATTTACAGGATCTGCCAAAGCATGATGCCAGATTGTCTGAGAAAGTGAAAACTTAATTTAGCACTCAAATATTTCTGAAAAGAATGAAAGAATCCTGTAAGAGGAATGGAAGGAGATGAGGTCAGAGTTCCAAACAAACAAAAATGCAAACCAAACATTTATGTATAAATACAAAGATTAAGTATAAACATATCATTAAGTATAAATTGTCATCAGCCCAGAAGTCTTACTTTAAGCTTCTGATGGTAAAGATCATCTAGCTTTTCAGCTTCTTCTTTCAGCATTTTCACACTGTTTTTCTTCTCCACTACCATTACATTCACCTAGAATGAAAACATGACCAAGAAAACATAATTCAAAATTAATTCCAACATATAAATCCATGCCATCACAAGGAACATGTGGTAGCCCAGAAATACTTAAAACTGGGCCAGGCTGGGATGGCATCAACCTTTTTCATAGCAGCCCATACCGAGCTTTGTTTTGGATAAGTGGCTAAAATGTTGGTAACACACAAGTGTTTTGGCTGCTACTGAACAGTGCTTGCAGAGCATCAAGGCTCTCTCTCCCTCCTGCAGCCCCTCAGCAAGTAGGACAGGAGCAGGCAAGAGGTTGGGAAGGTGCATAGCCAGGACAGCTGACCAAAACTGCCCAAAAACGATATTCCATGCCATGTACTGTCGTGCTCTGCAATAAAAACAGAGGTGAGGAAGAAGAATGGAGAAATAAAATTCTCCTCCTCCCAATCCGTCCTGAACCCAATATTGCTGAAAATCTTCCTGATGACAACTTGTCAGTGATGGTAAACCACACAACAGACTGGAATGGGCAACTTATTAAAACCAAATATTTCTAATGTTTATGGTCAAATATATGTAAGCTGCGTAATCTTCAATGCAGGGAATACACATTATTTCAACCAACAGAAAGAGACCCTAATTCTCACAAAAACTTTTAGGTTCCATCATAATTAAAGCAATCTTCTCACAGCTTTCCTTCCTGCCCCCCAAACCTCAACCCAAAAAAACCCCAACAAAACCAACCCAAACAAAAAACCAGCTCATCACAGCACACCTTACCCCTGCAAAAGGGTCAAATGAGATAACACACCTGTTCCAAAGTATCTTCCAAAGACATTTTCCATTGAGTAGCTTTCCTAATGTCTTCCTCTGTCTGGTTTATGATCTCCATAAGGGGAGCCTGTAATACACATACAAGAAGGTCTGGCTAACGCAATTTGTTAGTTTGAACTAAGTTGTAGTTACAACAGTACATCTTTTCCCTGTCTCATTTTTATTTAGGCTGCTGGACCCTCCAATACCAAATTTCCTTCCTATACTATAATGTTATTTATGGCAATGCATCACAAGCTTTTCAATGATTTTTCAATTAAGAGGTTAAGAGAGACCTTTCCAACATTTCCAAAGAAAAATTTTTTTGTGAATGGCAACAAACATTCATTGTTGATTCTGCTTACCTTGATCTGAGTTCTGTATTTGACTAGGCAATTTGGTCCTGCCTCAGGATTAAACTGAATCTCAAAGTCATGGCCTTTGGAATTCTCAGCACTTACTGGAATTAATTTCAGCTTTCGAGCCAGTTTATGATACTCTGCCAGTTGTATTTCAATCTGTTCAGAGGAGAAGGCGGCAAAAATCATAGAAGAAATAGATGTGAAATGCTTTGCAAAAAGTATCCATATAGTACTTTAAGCAGGTTTCTGAGTTGCTCTGCACAAACATGATTCTCTGTCATGCAACTGTATGCAAGAGCTGTATGTATTGACAATGCCAACTGCTGGACTAAGTGCTGTTTTATGGTTCTTCCAGTTTGCTCTGGAAGGTTTCTCAGTGTGTATGGGTGAGACTGAATGGTTTCACCTGTGGCTTTGGCTACTCATCTGCCATATTTTTTCCTGCCTCAACTTTCTGAGGATTAGGTGATAAAGATGGAAAAACATGCTTGGAAATAATACAACTAACTAAAACAATGACCAGTCATCACATTGATATGCCTTCTCTCATTAGTTTTGACAGGAAATGCCACATAGCCACACATCTTAATAACAAACTAACTTGAGCATGCTTCTAGAAAAAGCTTATTAAATGTTCTGACTGAGTGTCATTGTGTGCAAACATAAAACAAAAGTATTTTTTCCAGTTTTATGTGCTTCACACTTGCAGAGTATGAAGAATTTAAGTTGATATTAAGTGCTTGATAAAGGGTAACCCTGCCAAATGCAAAACATATTTGAAACTAAGTTCATCTAGCAAAGCAGAAGCTTTTAAATCCCACCACTTACAGGACCACATCTTTTCATTCTGTTTGAGGGAACTGAATTTGGCCCTTAATCTATGAGAGCTTCCACATAAGGGACCAATCTGGCCCTAAGTGCATGAAGAGATATTGATTCAAAACACTAGTTTTGCATTACTTCCTTGCTATGAAATCTTGTGTTAAAGCAATTTCAAGATAATGTTATCAAAGCTCTTGATGCTATAACAGTGAGAGCTGACAGTGGTCCATATCTGAGCTATGTCCCTTATGATGCAGAAAAAAAGTAATACATTTCAATTTTGCCCAAAACTGAAAAGGGGCAAAAAAACCCCAACATTTTTTCAGAGAGATTATAAACAGAAGGTATTCTTGTCACTTTAGCTTTTAAGACATATCTATGCTGTTGTTAAATTATTTAGAGAAGAAGTTAGCAATAGTCCAAGACCCAAGTTTAAGCTTGCATGGTGAAAACTGATAGCCACCTCTCAGTGTAGTAGGGTTTTCACATACCGCCTCTTTATTCCTAGCATATTTTAGCTCTTCATTCCACAGCTGATGTTCTTCTGCTTCCAATTCCTTAGTCAGCTTGTTAATGGTTTGCTGCAACTCATTTCTCTCATGATTTATTCTCTCAATATCCGCAACTGAGTACTTTTGGTTATCAAAGATGTGCTGGAGTCGGGCATTCTCCTGCTTCATTGCTTCTACTTCCATTCCTAAGTTCACAAAACATTCGTGAAATGGATGTAAAATAGAAGCCTATATAGCGAAACCTCATCTCTCTGTATTTTTATGAGTAAATAATATCTGTATTTCATTACTCTAGTGTACAAACAGCTATCAACCAAAAAAATCTCTTGATTAGTAATCCATTTTGGAAAGTTTATTTGTAGTATCATCATACACTAAGTATCTCACTCTGTCCTGAAGCTGAGAATTAAAATTATTTTAAACCTATTCTAGCTTCACTATCCCATTTATGACCAAGGCCTTCTTACCTGCTGTCTCAACTTCCTCATTAACACCTTCCATTTTTTGATCAAGGATGACTATATGCGATTCCAGATTAGCCAAATAAGCCTGGTATTTCTGGACATCTGCTTGAAGAGATGATTTCAGGTTTCGTAGTGTTACTCTACGATCCTAGTAAATGGATGGAAAGAAAAAACACTATTATATTAATCTAAAACAATGATCTGACTTTCCAGACAAGACAATAGAGTAATTGGTCAAACTTCAATAGTATAAATGTAAAATTAAAGAAATTTAACTTTATCTCTGTGACAAATTAATCAAGTCAAGCATCTTTAAAAAAGGCTAAAAAGATGGTTTGTATCTAAATTCTTCCAGTACAGTATTTAGTCTCTGATTTGCATTAGGCACTGTATTAAGCAAGGTCTTACTACAGGTAGTTCACAACTTAAGTATAATAATACACAAAGCACAGATAAAACTTAGGGCAGGGAAAGCTGGGAATAAAAGCAGCACATTTGGCACAGTAGGCAGGAGGCTCAATTTGCCAGATGCGCTAAACCCTTTTTAAACTCATGATGTATTAAAAGCAGAGTCCATCTTTTCAAACAAAATATTTTCCCTAAAATATATTGTTACCATGTAATTCCATGCTCTCATTCCCTAAGAAGTTCTTATACCAACACTTTTTGAAAAGATAATGTTGACATTCAGGAAAAAAAAGCACTTCAAGTATTTTATTAATATTTCAGCCAATGCAAGATCTCACTACCTGAAAATAATCTGCACAATATCAAATAGCAACTGAGGCCTCCACAGTAAATGCCTTGTACAATAGGGGTAAAGAGTCTGTAACAACCTAGCCTAACTAATATCTCATAGAGCACTGAAAATAATTTTCCATTTGTTGTAATATAACATCAGTATCTTTGTTTAATAATTATAATAATGATCAATAATAGAAAATTCAACTCCACCATGTAAACAAGTATAGACAATTTACTAACCGGCTCACTTTCTTTTTCTTTTTCTAGTCTTGCAATCTCTTCATGAAGTCTTTTGTTGTCAGCTTCTAAACTTTCTATCTGGAATTCATCTATATTAAATAAATCCTCTGGGGGGAAAAAGAAAAAAGGAGGGGAGGTGTTTACAAATTAATCTCACTGAATATCATAACGTAATCTGTGCTTAAGCTTTAGCATAGTAAATACCCATTATCTGGACAAATATTTTAGACTACGAAAAACCCAGAACAACAAACCCATCAAAAACCCCTTTCGTTACAAAGCAAATAGGCAGAAAACACAAAACAGGGAAAGAAGGAAGTTTTTCTTCCTTCTTTACTCCTTTCTCATCCACAAAGTATACTCCTTTCTCATCCATGTACTTTCTTGCCTCTTGAGACATCTTTTCCCTTACTTCCCACCCCTCAGTCTTTGCCAAACAATAGCATGATTACTTTTTCCTTCTAAAATCTAGTAGCAGTCTGGTGGCTTATGTTTCCTCTCCAACTGATGGCTCCACTTGCAATATAAGCGTCCTTAGTTTGGCTTTTTATAAGAGGCACAGAAAATGAGAACTATCCTACTTGTCATATTCTGTTTGTATTTCTGTAGATGATTAAATTAATGAGTCAAATTAATAATTTTCCATCTCCCCCAAGACAAACACAGGTGCATGCTGAATGATATATGGGAACATCCACAACAGTGTTTGGAAGTCTTGCGGGCTGTTTTCAGAGCTTTTAGAAGCTGAACTTTCTTATTTATCAGATGTGCATCCTCTGGTAGTATTATTTTTTTTTTTTAAATTGTTTACTTTGTCAGATGCAACAAGAATCATCTGCATAGATGGAATTTGCATCTGAAGAACTGTATACTGCTTTTCTGTCATGAAGCCATTGAAAACAATAAGTTTACATGGGTACAGCTGACAGCAGAGCATGACCCATCTGTCTGTACTGGTAAATGCATAAAAAGAAGATAATTAAGTCAAAGTAACTGAGAGGTACTTGGGAATTTCAGGTTCCCTTACCTCAGACCAGTTTCACTTGTAAAGGGAGCAAAACTGGTGCTAGAAGGAAAGAAACCAGTAACACAATGAAATGCTTCATTAAAACACAAAAACTTACTTAATTTTGACTGTACTTCTGCATCCAATTCTTCAAAAGTATCTCTCCCTTTCATGAACTGCTCATAGCACTTCACAGAGTAGTCCATGAAAAGCTGAAAACAATTTAAAAAGTTCATTTCAATGATTCAAAGGGCTGTAAAATATCTAGACTAAATCTACTCAACCAATGGAGTTAGACACCAAAAATATCTCCCACTGGTTTGACCGCACTTCTGTAAAAATCAATTCCCCCCCCCCCATAAACATAGAATGTCAACAGATTATATCAGGGAAGGAGACATTTAGAATGCACATAAAGAAAGGTCAGGAAATACTTGATATATTTTTCTGGGATACCCAACAAGGACAGCAGGTACAATATTTAAGAATTTATTATCTTGAAGCATGTGATCCTCTCAGGCTAGTTTATGGAAACTGTAGGTCTGTTTAACAGACACCTTCAGTAAATATGACGACCATACTTCAGATGTGCTGATGTTAAAGAACTAATCTAGAATTAAAGTTACTCAAAAAGAATTTACCAGGGACTTTAATTCAGAAGCAATTATACCAGTATTGTAAATTTTGTTTCAACATATAAGCATATGTATCAGTGTATAAACACACATTTAGTTTAAAAGCATTTTCACTTGTCAACTGTCAGGTTTGTAACCTTAGTCCAAATTTCTCATTTAATTTAATTTTTGCAATTTTCAAATTAAATGTTTAACCCCTTCCAAACATCTGCTGTGAGTTAGCACTGAGTTAAATCTGAATAGTACTAATAATTTATGGCAAATTAGAAAGAAAGCAAGATGCTGGATTTTCAAGTGCCAGAATTACATTGCCATTTTATTTTGTGTCTCGGAAATTAAACATTACGACCAATTTTTAAATGGTAAACTGAGTAGATATCAACAGGAGCCACCACATTTATAATTAAGTCACTATGTTGACAGTGTACTGCTGTTAGCCTTAGAAGACTCAAGTGCTAGAGAGAAATATACTCAAGATCCTACTAAAACAATAAACAAACAGCATAATGACTCCATTTCTCCACAAAGGAGAACAGAAACATTAGCAACTCAGAGAATAAGGCATTTCAATTTAATACCCACTCTTCACCAATATACTGGCCTGCTTGGGAAACTAGTCGATTAGGTTCTTTTATAATGTTCCTGTACTTCCTAGAGAAGCTTGTCAATATAAAACTGAATAGAATATATAAATACAGTTAAAATTGTTGTGTCACATATTTAAATTGTCTTGTTACAGCATATGTCAAAATTAAGTTGAAAAATTCTGATAATAATTTAATTTTTATGGTACCTTATTATGTACGATTCCATCATCTGTCTCTCCTCCCCAGCTCTGTCCGTCATCAAATGATGGTGCATTTTCCTTCATGGCAGCATACAACTGCAAGGCACAGGTGTACACACAAGAGCAAGTGTGAAGATCCCCATTATTTTTCATATTAGTATGTTCATGATCAGAAGCAGCACATTGGATTAGGATTTCAGCAAGCAGGGTGTAATGGTGTTGCTTCAGAATGTGACCAATCATATCAGGGTAATGAGCCTATGTTTAGTTGACTAAAAGCACAGATGAAGAGGCATTAACTGGACATTCAACACTGCCGAATTGCCTTGTTAAGCCAAATGCATCTTGTCAGCATAAAGGATTGGATTTTCATGAGTGCTCAGTTCAGCAGTGGTGAACTTTTGTCATAGACCCTAGATTTTGCTCAGACCTGAGCTAGCAGCAACAGAAAGTTACCACTATTATAAAAAAAACCCAAACAAAATACTCCACCCCAACACAAACCCTCCCACTCTGTACAACAGTCACAGGTCACTTGAATAATTGCTATGGAAAATTCCATCCTTAGACTTCAAATTTAAGAAAAGATGGCAGATGTGACAAGAAGATCTACCACTGAAGATACATGATTATAACCATTAATGTTTCACTTTTTTATGTATGCATGTCATAATTTTTCCCCCTCCTTTCTCATACACAAAATTATCCAGTGCACAGAGTTCAAAAACTATTACCATAATATAACATTAAAAACTCAGTTTAAAAGTTACTAAAAGTAAGGCTAAGGGCTAGCTCCCAGATGGCAGGTAAAAATACCTACCTTTTTCTTTACATAAATATCAAAGAGATTTTTAGAAAGCATTTAAGAGATCTGTATTGAAACTAACATCCCATCGTTGGCTTAAAGAAGACAGATACTACCTTGACACAATCAATTAACCAAACCAAAGCTGTCACAATCTGAGGCCATGTGTGTGGTGCTCCCACTGTGTACATGGAGCTTTTTGACAAAGGAAAGGGGTACCTACAAGGCAAAAGAAAATACATTTTTAATAGCTGTGGCAAACAGTGATGAAAACAAAACAGCACATTTTTATACATAGATCGAGGCACAGAAGAACAAACCCAATTGTATTTTATACTGTACATCAAAGGGAGATCAGCTGAGTTCTTACAGGACTATTTTATTCAATTATCATGGCTTTCTATTTTGTGATTCATAGAATATCTCAAGTTGGAAGGGACCCATAAGGATCATTGAGCTCAACTCCCTGCTCCTTGCAGGACTACTTAGAACTAAACCGTATCACTAAGAATGTTGTCAAGATGCTCCTTGAACTCAGACAGGCTTGGTGCTGTGACTATTTCCCTGGGAAGCCTGTTCCAGTGACCAAGGACCCTTTCAGTGAAGAGCCTTTTCTTAACGTCCAATCTGAACTTCCCCTGATGCAGGTTCATTCCATTTCCTTGTGTCTTATTACTGGTCACTAGAGAGAAGAGATCAGCACCTCCCCCTCCCCCACCCCCCTTAAGGAGGTTGTGAGACTGTGATGAGGTCACCCCTCAGCCTTCTCTTCTCCAAGCTGAACAAACCAAGTGACCTCAGCCCCTCCAGTGGCTTGCCCTCAAGGCCTTTCACCATCTTGGTTGCCATCCTCTGACACTCTAATGGTTCACTGTCCTTCTTGCATTGAGTTGCCCAAAACTGCACACAGTTCTCAAGGTAGGGTCACACCAGTGCAGCACAGAGTGGGACAATCACCTCCTGTGACTGGCTGCCTATTGAAGAAATTGCCTTTTTTTTTTTGCATATCCAAAGATCAGGAACACTTAAGGCCTCATTAAAAAAAAGTGCACTGGTGTCAAGTTTATACTAAACCATACAAAAATAATGTGAATACCATACTTGACACCATTCCTTAGCCCCCTCTTATTCAGTTGAGTATGTTGCCTTGGTCTTGCTATCAGCCTGATCTATCTTTCTACTTCTGAAGCTACAATGGGAGGAGATGGGCACTGCAATGCTACAGAAAAATGAGCGGGTGCCCTGTGAGCATGAGGTGATTCATGATGAGACAAAGACCTCAAAGGAAAGGCAACAAACGCAAAGGAAGGAGTAATAGTCCAATGGATGATGTTTAGGCTTTCAAACTGGGTATGCAAGCCTGAAGGATTTCCTAACAAATAAAAACAGATACACAGGAATCCTGTTCTTAGAGGGCAAGATTCTTGCTTCTTGGGTCAAATGTACTTTGAAAACAGAAAAGGAGCTGACAATCAGCTCAATGCCATGTAATTGCAGAAAATAATTTCAGAACAGCTGCTTATCAAAGTATTAATATTGCCTCTAAATACGGAACACACAAAGGCTATACTGCTAATTACAGACATCCTTTCAAAAATCTTCTACCTATCAAGGAACACAGAAGTGCAGATTTTATTCCATCTTTAGACTGACAGCTGCTCAGTTATTTTAAGAACATAGGACAAGAAGCTACTGATAAACTGACAGTTCTAAATAAGTGTTCATGAGCCATTCAGTCTGAGAGTTTTTAAAAATTAATTACTTAAGTCCATTTTCTAACTCTGGAAAGACAATTTAAAGTGAGTTCTCAAAATAAGTCTTTTTATCCAGGATTACAGTTTTGGTGCAGCAGAGTAAAGCTTCTAGAGAACAACTTCCTTTTCAGTGTTTCAGCTAGTTCAGCAGTTTCAAATTTAAATTAAACAAACTTTTATTAAAATACTGAGAAATGAACAGAACAGACCTATACCTACATCTAAGGAGCACTGATGCTTTGAAATCATCATGGGTTTAAATTTACAAAGTAAAGTACACTTCACTTTTTTTTTAATGAGACTGAAAATTCACTGTTATCAACAGGCAGAGGATTTTCTTTCCTGGAAATTGTTGGTACATTGATGATTCCAAACACTGAACAAGATTAGAAATAAAACACCTGGCTAGTTAGTGTTTTTTTCACCTCAGTGGTCATTTTTGTTATTTTCACTCCCTGCTTTAAAACAGAATGACAGAAACTACAGGAAAAGTTATTTTTAACTAAATGAAACAGAACGAACATTCTGAAATTGTTTTTTAGTTCGTAGATTTTAACAGAGTGAACCAGAAGAGTCTGTAAAAAAAAAAGTGTCTGTTTTTCAAAGTTTAATACAAATAATTAATTAGATTTTACATCACAAAGCAAGCTTCCAAAAGCCTATAGTTTTGTAAGTTCAAATATAAAATGTAAAGTCAAGTCTGAAAATCAGAGAGTAAAGTCAGAGCTAAACAAAAGTGAAACAAAATAATCACAACATTGCAGTTTCAGAGTCTGATTTGAATAAAGAAGCCTATCTGTTCTCCCCAGCTGTCATGCAGAATTTTTAGCTTTTAAATTTCTGGTTGTATCATATCTATTTAGCACAATAAAGTAACAGTAATAATCTTACCCAAGCTCTTTGAAAACTTTGGGAATTTCCTCCTCAAATTTTGAGTCAGGCAGTTCGTAAGAAGGGCAGAGAAATCCATAGATAAAAGTGAAAATTTTTAAAAAGTCCTTAACTGATGGAGACTGTAGTGATTTCATGGAAACATTATGGGCGTAACCATTCTCAACAAGAAACTGACAAAGAGAGACATGGCATATTAGTCACTGAATAAAATCTAAAGTTGAAACCACAGAAAATAAATCTTTTGATTAGTATCATTTATGCCTAATAACGAACGTTTAGAATAAGTTAATAAGTTACCTCACACAGCTGCTTGATACATTGTTGGATGAATGCCTTGTCATGAAGCGGCCTGGGATCCTTGATCTTTTCAGTACCAAACACACCATACTGACTGTTGCGTGAACCTCCAGCCCCACTAGTTCTAAGAACAAAAAATAAATACATTTCTTGGGACTTTTCATATAAAGAACTTTCTTAACGTTTAAGTCATTACAATTGCTATTTTATGTTTCTTTTGTAGTTGTTCTGCAAAGGGATGCCTGAAGGTTTCTCTTTATCTAGGGTGATTGGAGAAACAACAGCAACCTGGAAGCCATGATGCACACATACAACTGAGGGATTACCACATCCTAGATGAATATTTTCTTCAGTTTATTGAAATAAATTAAGTTTTATAGAGCAGAGAAATACCCCAAAGATAAAGAAACAAAATGATGTAGGTGATTGAAATAAAGACCAAAATATTTAAAGAATATTTAAAAGAAATAGATCCCTGCAACAGTGGTGTCCTATGAAAGGAGATACCTGCAAGACATCAGAACACAGAAAGCCATGAACTAAGCTAAAAAATTATAGAATTTTGGAAGGTTTGAATCTTAGAGAGAAGAAACTAAGGCAGAGTGTACTGGAGATGATCCTTAAATAGGCATATGTATTGAGGAGCTCTGAAGGTCTGCAGTGCATATCATTCCCAAGAGAAAGAGCAGCTCTCAAAGCAATTCCTACTCTACAGCATTGTTGTTTAGTGACCAAAGAGTGAAGGAAGGCAGACCTGAACGTCTGCTGGCCTCAGATCCATTATTCCTTATAATGAAAATCTGTCGAGAGAAAAATTACAAAATTATATGGGACTGTTATTGTTTTAATTTACAGTACTGAGATAGAAAGCCACCAATACCTCTTCCCAAAAAAGCTGACTTTTCTTTCCGAAGTTCCAGGTGTAGGTTTGCTCATGGTCAGCTTCCCAAACATACTTCTGTCCTTTCTGCTGGACAAGGAAAAGGATTCAAGTGACTATTTCTACCATTTCGTCTTTTGCTCATGTAAGAAAACTATAACACATGCATATAAACCTAAGCATCTTCAGCATAGCAGCATCTTAACAAAAGTCATCTGATTTTAATGCATAATTTGTCCATTATCAAAACTACTTCTGCAAGAAGATTCACAAGTATACCTTTTGTACACACACCCAGCCACCTCCTAAGAAATATGAATGAAAAAGTGTTACAATTTCAGTTGTGTCACAGGTATACAAATAGATTAAAGGATGTTTTTTTGCAGAACTGGAGCACTTATCCTCGTCAGTGGGGAGTTTTTATCTTGCTGCACCCATTTTTTTTTCAGTTGCTACTCACACACTCAAACACACTGCAGTAAATTTTTTCAGAGCTGGTTTTATATACCTATTCTTAGGAGGATGATCAGCAACACTTACGTCTGAGGTGTTTGAAGACCCATCTTGTTGCTGTCCTGCACTCTCAGGGCCATCATAGATTGCCGACCACTGCTTCCGGCAGTAGTTGAGCTTCGCCTCATTTTAACTAAACTGTAAATCACAATCTGTCAGTATTGGAAAACCCAGGATCTAAGAGTATTTGCTTTTTTAAACACCACAATGACTTTTTAAAGGATCAGAATAAGCAAGCAGAACTGTACTTTGGACCAACTGGTGTGACAGACAGTTTCCAGAAATATTAAGTTCTCCACAAAAAAAAAAAAAGGTGTATGTCAGACTCCAGAGCTACATAACAGCAGCAACAGCCTTTGAAATTAACTATTTTGTTGATTAAAAGCTTGCCAATGCTTGTTCCAAACTTACTATTTTGCCTTTATTTATACCTGGTCATTTCTAACCTACAGGTTCCAAAAGCAAAACCACATAAGTTTTCCAGTCCAGTCAGCTGGGGGGAAGTCCACACTAACATGACTACTGTTGCTAGCACTTCAGCCATCCATCTGTTCCTTAGCCACTAATTCTGAGCCTGCTTATTGATTTTGCAAGTGATGTCACTGTATCACAGCACAATAACTAGAAAGCCTATTCTGAGACAATAGTATGGCTATCTTCGGACTACACACATAAAATATAAATCAAAGTGGAAGTATCAAACTGTCCCCACAGTGGTATTAAGTGGGCACTTAACAGAATTCAGTAAATAGAATCAACTGTGAAAAACGCCAACTTTTGCCCTCTACACAGGATCTATGTTATTTGGGGGGGTGGGCTCAAATGGCTGAATTATAACTAATAAAAAAGAATCTTCCTTACAAACATTACCAAAACGTATTACCAATATAAATTGTGTCTCACGATCACAGTTCTAGTTCTAGTTCTGCAAAGCACGAGAGAAGTTTAGCTTAGGGACACTTCATAGGGCAGCTCATCCACAGCGTCCTTCTTCTGGTACTCTGCCTGGGATCCACCGCACACAGAGCAAAGGGTTTTCATAGACACCCTACGACTAGCCTAAGAGCAGAGCCTGCTAGAGTCAACTCACCAGCTGAAAAAAGAGGTTGGAGCGCGGCAGAACCAGACACAACGACACCCACCTGTGCGTTTAAACCCTA